AATCCAAGATGGTCTTTATTTTGAAGTCTACTTTTAGCATTGTATGAAAATTCACCCATCAGTTATTCATCATACTATGCGACTTTGGCTGAATACAGCCATTATTCAAGATCTACTGGCATTTTCTCAACTCACTTAAGCTAAATATCTTTCCTTATATTGCTCATCATAACTTTGAGGAAAAGACTTAGTTAAAAACTCAACCGCGGACACTTGACATCAGATTTATTTACTCGTAATTAAGATCTCGGGATAGTGTAGCATATATTATAGTGATAGCCTCCCTTCGATATATAAGGTTGAATCCTGTCTTCTCAACCTAGTTATCAGAAGAGTCTTAAGAAGCTATCCCATATTGGTTCCTCTTCCATGGTGCTTATTTCCCGCATCAGATTCTTCAAAATCAACGGGCCAGGGCTACAAATAATCATAACCAATATGGTAAGTTCTTCGAGGTTCTCCTGACACCAAGAACAAGTTGTTAAAGCCAGATCAGACCACATTTATATATTTTTATCTCCTTTCCAAAACCAACAGTTGCTTTTTAATCTTTTTCCGGTCCTTCAACTTTTTCAGCAACATTAAGGGAGCATTTAGCCAATATTAAGCTATTATTTTTAAGCATTTGATCGAATTATACATTGCTGCGTGTCTGCAGAGAATAACGTTCTGATCATTTTTATTTTCATTATGACCATAGTTTCACAATCCTGAGCCTTTTGTCTCCCTTGTTCAATTCCTTTTTAGCTATTCTCGTACATTCATTTATATGCTCCTTTTTATCATTGCAGGCAAGGAAAAATGGTGCTCTCCGGCATCCGTTTGCTCTGTTTAGCCAGTCAAACCCACGACGGTCTTCCTGATGAGCTTTACTGGTCTTTCCATGGACAAGTGGTCCATGCATCCGGATTCAATTCGGTTGCCCTCCTCGCGAGTCTTCGGAAACTTAAGTTGTTAGCTCCTCGGTCTGATTTTGAATCAAGCCGTGAAGCTGCTTCCGGGGCTACCGGAAGCAACGATGTTGGGGCTCGGACCATAAAAAACACCGGAAGCTCCATGGCTGATACGGCTATCGCTGCTACGAAGGCGATCACAGCAGCTGCGTCAAAGCTGACGTTGCGCAGGCGATCTACTTATAAGTACAGGCTTGATATCCATTTTAAATTTATTTCCTTTTTGCTTGATCATTCAGTTTAGGCAAGGCGTCAGGCTTAAAATCGTTTTTCAATTGCCACGACTCCATTGGCTTGTTTTTAATTCCCTCTAGAGC